ACCTACCACAACCTGTAATTACCTTGCTTATTTGTTTGAGTTTTTATTTACATTTATTTATTTATTTATTTATTTATTTATTTATTGGAGACAAGGTCTTACTCTGTCGCCCAGGCTAGAGTTCAGCGATGTGATCTCGGCTCACTGCAGCCTCTGCTTCCCAGGTTCAAGCGGGTCTCATGCCTTAGCCTCCCGAGTAGCTGTGACTATAGGCACTTGCCACCACGCCTGGCTAATTTTTGTATTTTTAGTAGAGACGGGGTTTCATCATGTTGGCCAGCCTGGTCTCAAACTCCTGGCCTCAAGTGATCTACCTGCCTCGGCCTCCCAAAGTGCTAGGATTACAGTGCTTGTGTTTTTAACTTTTTTTTTTTTTTTTAGACTACTCAAGTCCAGTAGTGAGAAGGGGAAAAAGAGGAAAACAAAGAGTGAATTTTGTAGCTGATTACGAACAATCAACTTGGATAACTTACTATCTATGCATCAGCCTGTTATTTTTATTTAGACAATTTTTTAAACTTCTTTTTGAGACAGGGTCTTGCTCTGTCACCCACCCAGGCTGGAGTACAGGAACGTGATCATAATCACTGCAGCCCTGAACTCCTGGGTTCAAGCAATCCTCCTGCTTTCCTAGTAGCTGGGACTACAAGTGTATACTAGCATGCCTGGCAATTTTTTTAAATTTTTTTTGTAAAGATGGGGTCTTGCTATGCTGCCCAGTCTGGTCTCAAACTTTAGGGCTCAACCTGGGCTGATCCTCTTGCTTTGGTCTCCCAAAGTGCTGAGATTGACAGGCATGAGCCACTATACCTGGCCTGTTATTTATTTTCAATAGTCAGCTATCTGTCTTCTACTAGAATGTAAACTTCGTAAGGGCAAGGACTTTCCATATTTTGCCAACTGTTGTATCCAAACTAGTGCCTAGCACTGTGGCTTTCAACTGTTGTTAAATGAATGGAGTGTGTTAATGCTTTCATAGGTATTTTAATTCATTCTAGGATTTAATAATACTTGTAATTATCATCTTATGTAATGTATATCCATGGATCTCATACCTGACTGAATATAAGAATCACCCAGAACATGGTTTTGAAATACCACTGAGTCTCATGACCTGCCCCAGGCCTACAGAATTGTCAGCTCCCAAAGGTGGTGGAAAAAGAGGATTCAATCAGAAGCCATAGTTGGTTAATCCAATGAAACAAACGTTATTACCTGTGCTTTCTTTTAAGCAGGAAGATGACTGTAGGTCAGACTGTAGATTTGTTAAGACATCTTTACTTTCAATACTCCTTGAAGATACTGTATTTTCAGTATTCTTTAAAGAGACTTTATTTTCAATATTATTAGAAGGGACTTCCTTCCTATATGTTAAAGTAGACAGTCAGAAATATTTTCTTAGTTCATAATTCTGTTTAATGCTTTAAACACGCACATTACATTTAATACAAACATACAATATAATATGCCAACAATAAACTAAATAGGTAAAATGTAGTATCTTCTTTATGGAAAAGCATTACAAATTATTTTACTGATGATTAAAATTCTATTGCTGACTGGCATTGTTATTGTATAACAATTCTTAGACTCTTTTCAGAGTTCTTTAAACAGGGCATTTAAATAGTCAGCTATAGAAATGTCTTTGGTACATCATAGCGATATGATGGAATAAAACTAAGAAAATTAGCCTGGAGTTTTGAAGTTTATAAATCAATTTTTGTAACTGCTAAATGCTACACTTATGCAGATTCCAACACTAATATTAGCCCTTGGTCATATTATAAAATAGCCTTTTTCATTAAAGTAGCTTAACTAAAAATGAGTTAACTCTCCCTTTTAATCTTTAAACTTGAAGCTTCATCTTAATAAATATCACATAGAAACGAGGAATTCTTAATGTGGTGCCCTCTGTTCACAAAGACAGGCACCTACGCTTGTGGGAAAAAAAAACAACCCGTCTCTTTTTTTCAGATATCAAGAATCTTTCAATTTGTCTCCTTCAAACAATTTTTAAAATTCACCTTCTAGTTTGCATGGAAATATATGAAAAGATATAAAGTATTATTTGTTCCCTAATGTTACAATGGCTCTGTTTTTTTCCTTCATGGAAACGTGAATCCAGAACATTGGTAGTTAAGTTAGTGGTCTTCTGCACTGATTTAGCAAATAGGTTGACCAGCTTGTTAGATCCTTAATACTATGAGAGGGAATGGAATCTTTACTCCCCCAGTATATGTGGCTACAGCAAAGCCCTTCTCTGGAAATGAAAAACACACAGCAAAGATGATTTACATTTATTCTGCCTCTGCCCCACTCAATCTTCTCATTGTGAAAGAAAGCATCCAAGAAGAAACTCTACATATGAAAAGTTGGAGAATCACTGAGATATTCAGTTTCCAGGATTGTTAAGACTCCTATTTTTTTTTCTTTTTTTTTTTTTTTGTTCCCTTCTCCTGATTGTAAAGACTCCTATTACATAAAAGGTCACCAAACCAGTGATTACTAAAATTTATATGCTCTCAAAGCTGATCTACATAAAAGGGCTTTGATGTCTTTTTTCTTCCCTGAATTACAGTATTTCATTCAGTCTAAGATACCATCCATTTATTATAAAACATACCAGTTTCATGTACACTAAAAAAGAAAAAAATATTGCCAAACATAAGTGTAAGATGACATTGTAAGAGATGTTAAAATACGAAAAATGTGTGCTTTAGAATGAAATGTGGTACTTACATATTCACTAAGTTACATCCTTAAAAAAGGAAATTTAGCTAGTATAGTTCTAGGTATTTGAATAACTGGAAATGTCTATAGTAATTTTAATGAAACACACATGGAGGCAGCCAACATACTCAGTGACCTGAAGATAAATGGAATATTACTATTTGGAAGCAGTGAACATGTCAGAAAAATAACTATGTGAGAGATGATATAATTCTGATTTTTATTTTATTTATTTTATTTATTTTTGAGATGGAGTTTTGCTCTTGTTGCCCAGGCTGGAGTGCAATGGTAACATGTCAGCTCATCACAACCTCCTCCTCCCAGGTTCAAGCGATTCTCTTGCCTCAGCCTCCCAAGTAGCTGGGATTACAGGCATGTGCCACCACGCCCGGCGAATTTTGTATTTTTAGTAACAGATGGGGTTTCTCCATGTTGGTCAGGCTAGTCTGGAACTCCTGACCTCAGGTGATCTGCCTGCCTCAGTCTGTCAATGTGCTGAGATTACAGGTGTGAGCCACCACACCCTGCCAAATCTGATTTTAACAGTAAGATATAAATTCCTTTTCTGTTCACTTTCTATGGTCTTGTTCACTTTCTATGGTCTTTCTTGCATAGTTTCAAATAATCAGAGGCCCAAAGGTCAATCTTCTCTTCACCTAAAATCTATTGACTTCTATTTGGGAAAGTGATTTATGGTAATAAGGCCTCTAACTATTTAAGAAAAACAGATAAATAGAATGCTCTAAAAGATCTGTTTTTCTTAACTACAACTGAGGAAAGATTTAAAATTTTATTTTATGTAATAATGTCCTTTGAAAATGCAAAAGTACTTAATTTAGTACTTAAATGACAGAGTTTATCAGGTTAGACATTCCATTGGAACAAATTTATGCTAGCAGGCAGATAATCTAAGTTTTAGAATTTTTTCCTTAAAGTGCTGGGCATCTTTAGGAAGTATCCCAAAACTTCTACTGAAACTAATAATTTTTTTAGGAGATGTCTATTTTAAATTTTGTCATAAAATGATCAAACATAGGCCTAAAAACAAAATTAATTAAAACTTACTTTTCTGTGAACGTCTTAGCTACATCTGGAGAGACCTGCGTTGGTGAGGCATTAAGTTTGGTTCCCAATCTTGGTCTGCGTCCAAAAAGGCATTTACTTGAGGTATAAAATGGGAAAAAGATAGCTCATTATTCATTTTAGGAAAGGTGATAAAACATATGATCATGTAAGAAAAGGCCTACAGATACAGATACAATTTTCTTCAACCTCAGTCAGCGTTGAGTGCTGTGGATTTGCTTCAGCCATTTCCCCCTCAATCTTTATGCTTGAAAGCTTGACCAAACAATCAAGTAAGGTCCAAAATCTAAAAAACTTTATCCAGCATTAAATACATATTTTATTTCTACTGCTGAAAATAGTTTATTAATGAAAAGCAATTTGCTGGGTAGACAAAATCTTTCCCACACAGGATTTCTAAGGAAAAAGAAAATGTTAAATGGGGGATTTGTGTGCCCAGATGTTTGAATCTCCTGGTTTATGGAGTCCACATACTTCTTGTGGCTGGGACTAGAGTGAAAAACCCAAAAACTAAAGCAAAGAATTTGAGAAAAGAAAAAACTTTTAGTTTTCCCTAACCCAACCTAAATGAAATCTTTTGGCAAGTCTCACCTGCCAGTCAGAGTATGAAGCCAGCAGCAGGGTGGAGTGGAACAGAAGCTACGCTGGAAAAATTCATCAGCTTTGCAGGTCAGTCACGCTCTTCCCATGCAAAGGTCCCCCACGATTTTTTTTTTCCTACTTGATCATTTTTCTCTAGAACTAGCCCTGTTTACCTTCAGCTCTGGGTGAAGTACCTGAGCTGACAAAACAACACACCTTTGAAGCTTACTGACTACAATATCCACCCTTGTCCTTCCCTGCAAACAAATTAAAGGGAACATGATCATTTTGACCTTGCAAGCAGTTTGAGAGGCAGATGCAATTATGACTGCGATCAAGAGAACAAGTAGCCACTCTGCTTTTCTCTTTTGGCCTAGGCTGCATTTGATTTATCCCTGGGGTTTATCTACCTCAGGAGGTGGAATACTCCTTGCTCTACATCCAACACTGCTTACCGGTCAAAGGGCATTGGGGCTCATGGATACAACAGCAATTTCTTTTCATCCATGATCTAGTAACTTCTATTAATATTAGTGAAAGTTATATTTCAAATTTCCCTCAAAGACAACTAAACATTTTTTAGATTTTATTATATAAATATTTTCAACGATGTACTAGGACACATAAAAACTACATGTAGATTACTATATGTAGCAAGGCTCTTTATTTCTGGTTGGTTGTAACTTTAAATTAAAATAAATATAGGGTCTCTGTCACTGATTTGCTATACATTACTTTCTCTTTAATATAAAAACATTATATAATATGTAATATATATATAATTTATAACAAAAGCGAAGGTGGATATTTTTAGTTTTGACAATGTGAAAATTAAAATATATGTTGCCTAAGGCAGAATTTTTCCCAGCCAATATTTTGAATAAACCAAAACAATATGAATTTGAATAGAAGAATCTCACCAGAAAGGTACCTACTAATTTGCTGGTAATTCCCACAAACATGTTTATGATCAACTTTCAAGCTGTAGTTTTTCAGAGAACAAATATAGAATTTTTTTTCAGAAGGTAGGAGATGATTACAGGAAAGGCTTTAATAGGTTATCAGAATCAGAGCCTTGAACAGAGCAGATACTTAAAATTTAGGTACTAAACTGATATTGTACTGTGATTTTTTTTTTTACACTTGATCTTAGCCAAAGGCTGGAAATGATGTAGTGTAATTTTTTTTAACACTAGTTTCTTTAACTAGTTGAGGTAATTATTTTCTTTATTGAATAGTAACAATTCATGTTATAGTAAATATTTTAATTTTAAAGTAAATATTTGCTTGAAGAAATATTCTGAAAGAATAAGTATCAAAGGGAAATAGGAATGAGCAATGAAAATTATGATACAAGTAAAATACAGAATACAGGGTGTTTAAAGCAGAGGTGAATATTATCTATACTTCTACATTTTTATCAAAATTCATTTTTCATTTTAACTGTCCTTCTATCTAAGTAACAATTGCTTTGACTGAAGCAAAAGCTGAAGGGCTAATCCATGCATTTCTGGCCTTTCAAATTTAATTGGGTGACAAATGGCTGCATTATCTTGTTCTAATTGCTTAAAAGGCATGGGAGAGATCAGCTGCACAAAGACATCTTCTTACTCTGACATTGCTTCATTTGATTCAATCATCACTTTTTCTGAAAGAGAAAAAAATACCCTCAGCATTTTATTAACAGTGATGTCCCTAACATAGATTTCTAAATGGCAAATATTTAGGATTTTTAAAAGGACAGGCAAAATTATAATGGATTTAATTGCTAAGTCATTCAATGACACTCAACATTCCAACAATCTTCTTAATATTTAGGACAAAATAGTGATTAAACATACTCTTTCAAAGTAATAAATCTTACCCTTTGGATTAAACATTAGCAATCTGCCATTCTGTTTGTTCTTTGTTGTCTAAAATAGAAGCAGAAATAAAAACTAATATTATTATTTTAGTCTCAGGTATTTGAAATAATTTACTAATGCCTTTATGTAAACATTTCTATTATCTAGAATAAAATGCAATTTTATACTAAAGCTGATTATTTTAAAACTATATAAATTGATGGTAAAATAGACCCAACACATCCTTAAAAAATTGTATACTCTCACCTTACCTTTACAGTATCTCTCTTGTCTACAGAATTCCTGCAAAAACCAAAATATTTTCTTCATAAGTCTCTAAACACTTGAATAGATTTAAAATACAAATAGAACACAGAACACAGTCTGTCAGTTAGGTATTAAGCATGTATTTTGTTTTAGTATTTAGTAGCATTATTTCAATAACTGGAAAACCTCATTCTTCCAGATTATGAAATTTAGTTTAAAAAAATCTAGAGAAATTAAGCCTTCTGGGGGGAAGGGGAGAGATGGTAGACAAGCACAAAAGAGAACTAGGGCATACTGAGCTTGCTACCTGGGTGATGAAATAATATGTATAACAAACCCTGATGACACATTTACCTATGTAACCAGCCTTCACACATACCCCAAACCTAAAATAAAATTTAAAAAAAGGAGAAGAAACCAAGTTTTCCTCTTCTTCCCATCTCACCTTGGAGTTTATTTAAAAAGAGCTATAAGAGTAATTTTGCATGTAAGAAAAGCGATGCATTAAATAAGGCTTTAATTCTCTGTTATCTTTTTGGTTTTGCGTAACTTGGACTTTAAATCTAGATCTAAATACAATCAACAGCTGGCTAAGAACTCTGCTTTCCTATGGAAATGACCCGAGAAATCATCATCTTTGCTCATGTTTACACCATTTCTCTTCCCTACTTCAACAAAACACACCACAACATGTAAATAAACTATCTGCCACATTCAGTTTACTGGTGTCACGAACAAAAACCTTTTAAGGCCAGGCGCAGTGACTCATGCTTGTAATCCCAGGATTTTGGGAGGCTGAGGTGGGTGGATCACCTGAGGTCAGGAGTTTGAGGCCAACCTGACCAACATGCTGAAACGCCATTTCTACCAAAAAAAACAAAAATTAGCCAGGCATGGTGGCGGGCAACTGTAATCCCAGCTACTTGGGAGACTGAGACATGAGAATAGCTTGAACCCCAGAGGCAGAGGTTGCAGTGAACCGAGATTGCACCACTGCACTCCAGCCTGGGCAACAGAAAGAGACTCTGTCTCCAAAAATAAATAAATAAATAAATAAAAACACCTTTTAGAGTACACGCGACCAGAACAAGAAAAAATTCTTCCACAGTATTTCAATATATGATATTTTAAATAAAGTATTATTTAAACAAACACATACAGAAATGACCTTTGATTTTAAAATACAATCCTTATCTCGTAAGTTCTCATGTGTTTATTAATATAAAGGTACAATGTTTTCTCTATGAATTTTTACCTTTCTAAGTTACCTGATCACAGGACTGATTTTCCTATAATGTAGCCATTTATATATCTGGATAAATTTCATTCTCATTAAGAGAAAAATAAACAAGTTTTTTTTCAAGTATGGTAGTGGCCACACTTAAAATTTTCCTAAGTAACAATCCATGTTGCTCACTCCTCTAACACTTGTTCCCATGCCCCAAGCCAGATTTTAAAAATTGTCATAATTATTACCTACTGAGGGATTTCTGGAACACAAAATTCAGGGCTAAGACTGTGGACAATAAAAGGGAAGTGTCATTATTTCGTATTAAGTTTTTATTTTTTTAAATCCAACTCCCTCACATTGACTTATGCTCCTAAATAAAGCAGCTGTACATAAACTTCTACCTCAGGCTTTGCTTTCTAGGGAACGCTGACAAAGCCAGATATGTTAATTCGATTAGCTCTCTTGGAGAGGTTCACAGAGAACTAAAGTCTATCAGAAGAGCATGGCATATTTTGGGGAAACACAGTTAAGGAAGACCAAACTCCAGGATAAATGATTTTCCTCTGATTCTCTAGGGCAGTAAAGCTCCAAAGAGGAAACAAAGCAATAATGAACTAAATAAGGCCTTAACAAAAGAAATCTAACATGATCTCTCCTGAGACACACTTTTACTTCACAGATTTCCACAATCCTGTGGGTACCTGTATGTCCCACAGAGCATCACCTTTATATTTATTAATAATATTATTATTATTTTGAGACAGAGTCTCACTCTATCACCCAGGCTGGAGTGTGGTGGTGTGATCATGGCTCACTACAGCCTCGTTTACCTTGGTTCAAGCTATCCTCCCGCCTCAGCCTTCTGAATATCTGAGACCACAGGTATGCACCACCACGTCCAGCTAACTTTTTTAATTTTTGAAGAGACAGGGTCACACTTTGTTGCCCAAGCTCGTCTTGAACTCCTGGACTCAAGTGATCCTCCCGCCTGGGCCTCCCAAAGTGCTGGGATTGCAGGTATGAGCCGCGGCACTGGCCCACCTTAATATTTGGAGCAGTCCTTTCCTTTTTAGCTCTAGGAACTTCATGGATTGCAACATTCTACTCTTCATCTAGATGAAACATTCGTGCATATAATTCTCCCACCATTTTCACCTGGTGAAAACGTAGGATGAACAGATCCCAGCCCTTGATGGAGACCCACGCTCAGTTAGTCTGGCTCTATCATTAGCTAGGAAATGTCCATTTCATCTCCTTTCACAAAACTTAATTGCTTGGGAGGCAGTACAGTACTCAAAAGATGGGGCTCTTGAGTAAAAGAGACTAGATTCACATCCCAGTTCTGTCACTTCCCAGCTGAGTTTGGACAAATCACTTAACTTCTTTAAGCTTCCATTCTTCCATCTGAAAAATGGGGACCACCATGGTGCCACCTCTGGTGGATCATTATAAGGATTAAATGGGATAATCTGGGTAAAGTGTTCAGCACAGAGCCTGGCATATACAAAGAACACTGTTGAAACAATTTGATGTTTTATCTAAAGGAAAAGTTTGGAAAGATGTCTTATGGGGATAATTAAAATTGCTTAGGAAAGCAAAAACGGGCCTTTACTGCAATTGAGACAAGCAGATTATCTCTGAGGGCTTTTAATTAACTTTAAAAACTACCTAAGCCCTAAAGTACTGATACTTGTTTATAAAGATCACTGACTCCAGGGAAGAAGCAGACTATTTCAGAACACAGATAAAGTCACTATCTTTTAACAGTCCCCGTGGCAATGGGAACAACACAGTCATGATAATTCAAACTTTTCATACACTATTCAATGCCTATTTAAAACAGGTATTTGGGTCAGGTATCCTGGCTCACACCTGTAATCCCAACACTTTGGGAGGTCGAGGCCAGAGGATAGCTTGAGGATGGAGGTTGACACCAGCCTCGGCAACACAGCAAAACTCTGCCTCTATAAAAAACTAATTAGCCAGGCAGGGTGGTGTGTGCCTACAGTCCCAGCTACTCAAGAGGCTGAAGTGGGAGGATGGCTTGAGCCCAGGAGCTTGAGGCTACAGTGAGCTATGATTGTGCCACTGTACTCTAGCCTGGGCAAGAGAATGGGACTCTGTCGCTAAAGAAAAAGACAACAAATAGTACAAAATAAAACAGACATTTGATGAGCACCTACTACATGTCAGATATAACTGTGCTAAGCTCTGGGGACACAAAGATGAAGATACTCTAGTTTGAGAAGTTCAGAATCTTACAGGTGAAATGGATACTAACTTCTTATATGTATGTCATCAAGTAAGCTTCAAAGTACTATAACAAATGCTTCCCTCTAAGAGGCTACAATGTCATTTCCCATACTGCCCAAACTGAGGAATACTGATTACCAGAATCAATCAAATGCTTTCTTTTGGGCTCATGGGCCGGATACCTAAGGAGAATCAGCAGGCAGTGGGGGCAAAACTGGACCAACAGAGGTGAAATTGCCTTTGCAAAAATTGTAACAGTAAGAAAATTATGACAGTGACAGAGATCTGACCTGACTCCATCTTGCTTCTAACCTTCTAGCTGCCCTTGTTCATTACTAGGCATAGGCCAAACTAACTTTGGGAAGAAACTAGTTTATAGTTAACATTGAAACAAAGATGATAACCACCGTTTCCCAAAGCAAACCCTCTTCTTGCCTGGGGACAAGACTGCCTTTGTAGGATTAACAAATTAGCCACAAGATTAGAAATTGTAGTTTAGAAGTCATGCAAACAGAAGCCACAAGTTCTGAACTTCCCCAGTTGGTATTATTTGGACTCCACAGATTTTGGAACAACAACAACAAAAAAAACCTTTCATAAAATGAATT